CTTTTTTTCTTACACATATTTTCACTACTGTCTTACTTGCAAAAGGTTAGATTCCATTTAGTCATGTTTCAACAAGAAAATATCTGTGTGAAATGAGAAACATGAGAAATGCTAATTATTTCAACAGAAATTGCTTCTACACAGCGGGGACATTAAAATGCTAAGAATCATAGCTGTGACAATACATATTAAAGCTGAATGGGAATACATTGGATTAGTAGTACACTAGTTTTCACAGGTCTGAGTGCAGAGGGGTTCAATAATGGACATCAGAGCATCGATCTCCAATAAAAAAAGTCCAATGAACGTCTGCAATATAGGAAACTAAAAAACTAAAAAAAAGTTAGTTTCTATTACCATACTCGAAAGACCACAATACAAAGCACTACATATAATTGGTATATTTCCAAGCCAAAACTGACAGTCACCTTTGCACTAAAACAGATCACCTGGAGTCTGGGAGCATTGTGGAGTTGAGTCCCATCATCATAAGTTGTTCCATACTGTGAGGTTGAAAATGAAAGATGATAAAAAATTCTAAAATCGAAACACGCAAGAACAGTATATATGGAGTTTATTTAACTAAAGTTCGGGAGGGATGACAACAGCCACGCTCAATCATTCCCTGCTGTCAGTGATTAGCAATCACTCCCTTCGTCCTTCCTCCACCGAACACTATAAATACCAAATGCGACATCTCCCTCTTCCTCGCGTTTCACTTTTGCATCCCACCTCTACCTCTGCAGCTGCCCCTTGGTTACCTTGCGGGGGGTCCTGGTGTCCTCGTCCTACGGCCATGAGGTCTTCCCTCAGCCAAGTGGGTTAAGCCAAATATTCACTCCCAATAGTTCGTTACGCTTTGATTTTGGGCGTTGTCATTCCTAGTGAACATATATTTAGGAGTAAAAAAGAAAGTTATAAACGTGGACCTGGATGATATGACAACAGCTGATTTCAGAGGTCTGGCTGCTGAGGTCGCACAAGGGAAGAAAGGACTTCTTCCCAGACAGTATGACACAACAGATGGAAAAACTAAGGGATTTTGTACCTTGGGACTGAGAATTACAACAGCATGGTGATAAGTACGTGCAAAAATGTACTGTTCAGGTACACATTCTAGTGTTGTTGTATGTAAAACATGCCAAATTGCAATCTAAACTAAAGATCTGTAACACATTGCTCATATGTTACACAATAATAGTACCTCAGTTCCAAACTAAACACAATTGTAAAGTAATTCAGTGACACACTTTATTGCATAATTCATGTCAAATACAATGTTATGGTAATGAAAAATCTACCCCTATACCATGACTTTTTGTCTTACATGAAGAAGGTTTCACGTATGTTCTTTCAGAACATAGAATTAAAACTCACAGTTTTTTTAAATTTTGGCACACAAAATACTCCTTTTTAATTGCATTGAAATTATTAAGTTATGTTGTTTTAGGTTTAACCTTAATTAATAGGGAACAGCAGTCTCAATTTCTCTGAACAATTAAATCTCAGTAACAAAATAAATTAATTGATGGTACAGAAAAATTAAGAATTTGGAATTACAACATCGTGAACTTTGTGAAGGTGCTGTAAGTTGCCATGGTGTCACACACCCCTGGTCTCACCAAGGGCAAAAGCAAGTGTTCCTACGAATTACGATGTGATGCGGCCCTTCCTACTCACTAGACACACTAATGAGCAAATAAGTACAGGTTGTGAAGCAGACATTTCAACAAAGAAAGCTTCCAACGTGATCTGCATGCAGAGTTAAAAAGTAAGTTCCATCTAATTGGCAAAACCGCCTTTTTGAAATTGAAGCAATATTTCTATTGAATTAAAGAGATTGTAACGAACGGTTCTTTCCGGACCCTATGCGGACGACACAATCCGACGGAGTGGGGAAACATTGGGGAAATGTCATGCAGGAAAACGGGGCTGAAGACAGGGGGGCGTGTCCAAGGTGCGCTGGTGCACGGGGGAGGCGTGGCCGAGGCGAACAATCCGAGAGAGTAGTCCTTAGGGAAAATCCAAAACACAAGGGTAAGTCCAAAACCAGGAGATCCATCAGAAGAAGGAATTAAAAACACGAAGGCCGGGTCGGAACCGGCGGAGAGAGAACGGGAACGGGAACCGAGGTTAAAACCTTAACGGGACCAGGCGCTTCCAGGTCCCGGACTCGCACGATATGGAAATCAGATGCAGAGCCCAGATGAGCGTCAGCGCCTGGCTTTTAAGGTGGGCTGGGAATAGAGAACAGGTGCAGAGAATAAAGTCTTAGTGAAAGGGCTGGAGCACCCTTAAGGAGGGGGGACTATAATCGTGACAGAGATGTTTTTGCAAGCTCGCTTGTTTACATTGTAATAGGGCCACTTCATGTCACCGGACGTTTTGTTGCCTTTTTCTGAATATCTGAGATGATGGCGCTGCACATACCTGAAAATTTAGTCTATTTTGTGTTGTAAATTGGAGGTTTTACAAGTTCAAGAAGCTGGCCGTATCAGCATGCATAGCCTGCAAAGAAACAAGCAAAGGTTTATTCCATGCTGAAAAGAGAAGGAAAGAAACACAACGTTTCGGCTGTGGAGCCTTTTACAAGTTTTTACAAGTTGCTGTGTACATTTTTATTGTGTTTTCAAATGCACTCATCAATGTTTATTTAGGAACAAGTAATAGGTTTATTCCATGCTGAAAAAAAGAAGAAAGAGAACACAACGTTTTGGCCGTGGAGCCTTCTTCAGGTTCTTCAAATAAATAAAATAAATGTTTATTTATTTTGAACTCCGAAATATTAAAATAGTGTTGCAGTTCCCCTGTCTGACGTTAATAAAACAAAGGTGTTGCGATGGCTGTATTCACCAAAAGACAATATTGCTAAATACAGGATTGTATTGTTGTTATTGTTGTTTTTTTCTTGTACTACTTATGTCTGAGAGCTAGCTAAATAGCATTTCGTTATACCATATACCTGTATATGAGTATAATGACAATAAACTTGAACTTGAACTTGATGTCCTTCTTGCCACTATGCCTAAAGGCAACCTGACAGAAGTTGCTGACAGAAGAGGCTGACCTAATTAATCTGCTGTAATTGACCTTGTACTACATTCATTATTCCTGAAGGTAAAGGACAAAAGTTCGAATTTTGTGTTAATGTGCAGTTTATTTAATGCGAGTGATAAATAAAAACATCACTTTTTAAATGGTAAATCTTAATTCATTGTCCTAATCTTTTTTGCTTTAACAATGACTTTTAAAAAAATACATGACACGCATTGAGAAAAAAAGATTTTGTAGAGATTTAAAAAAAATCTTTTTACCCCTGTTCATCAGCATTTAAAGGGAAGTATTCTCTGTTGGGATATTCTATTTTAATATTTACAGATCTTATTCTTCCAAGACAGTTTGAAACTGAACACCAGAATAATATTTTTGAGCAACTGAAGAAATGAATGTCAGATACTGTATGTGAACTTTTGTTTTAATCAGCATCTGTTCTTTTTAACCTTGTTTTTTTGTTTCTGTAATTGCACAATTTATTTTTTATTTGAGCTGCTACAGTATGCTTCACCACAAGATTGCGTCTGCTGTCGAGTTGATCACCTGCTGCTTTCATGCTCAGTTGTAAAGAGAAATCGCTTTTGCCACCTGCCGGCAGCAAAGTATAATGTCAGCCAAATTACCAGGCAAAGGCTAAGAATTCATGGAAACGGAGTGTGAGGCAACGTAAGAGCAGTTACAAACGCTTTAAAACGAGAAGAGGCCTTTAAAGCAATCAGACTATTTTGGCAATATTAGCTAATTGGTCCGGTAATCTCAGACAGCCGTTATTTAAAAGAAGTCAGGGTACAACAAGGGATAGTCATCTGTCCTGATGGCAATTAAACTTTATTGATCAACCAAGAATAAAAACTAGTCCTATCATAATTTTTAGATTACAATCAAACGTTTTTCTTGACTCCTTCCTGAATATAATTAATTGGAAGATTTCAGGGATTTAAAGAGGGTTACAACACACATACCTGAACAGTCTGTTTGATGGTCTGTTTAAAGTTTGGGTATGTGTTTGCAAGATTAATTAAACCGAGGAATTATTACAGGTAATATGTTAGCTTTGCAGTGGAATTTACAGAACGTTGTGTGAGGCGCTAAGAGCCTGACATCTGGACTGCAAACTGACATATTTCACCATCTCATTGTTTCACATTCTCCTGGAGACAACTGACAACAATCAGTTTTCTTAGTTGAAACAATAGCGAATAACAAGCAAGCTGTAATCTTGTCTACACCCTTATAGGTAAGTGTTTTGGAGAAGGGTAAATATTTCGGTGAACTGAGGCAGAACAACTTCAGAAAACAGCAGACTTCAGAAAAGCTAAGTTGGAAGTGGACTAAAAATACCTAGAAAGCTTACTATTACATTATTATCTGGATAGACAGGCAGTGTTAAAAAACCACAGTGTTAACTGGAATTTCACAAAATTCACCTACAGACCTACCTCACAATACAGGCGACCCCTTGCACTTCCTGCCAATAAGGTGATGAATGGTTGCATTCATAACAGGGCTGAGTGTTAACGAATATTCACTAATAAAGGAAACAAAGGAGAAAAAGCCCCGGGAATGTGTGTGAACTGTTACAATAGTCCCATCACTGTGCGACACCTATTTTAACTACTACACAAAATGAGAAAAGGGTAAACGTAACCCAGCATGTTAGCTCAGTAACCAAGCCTTCCAGGCATTCTGGAGCCTTTTCAGAAAGGGGAATCAAGAGACTTTTGATACCATTATGTCCCAAAACAGTCAGGGAAACGATCATCAGTGATGATGATAAAAACAGAAAGTAGGGTGCACTGTACATGGTGTTAATCATTCGCTGTTGGCTTCGTGATGGTGCAGAGGGCTCACAGCGCTGTGTGGCTGTGCATACAGGGGGAGGTGGCCATCATGTTTGCCAGGTGTACTTATCCTCTGTGTCACGAAGGAGGGGCCAGGCTAGCTCTTCTCATTTCCCTGGCAAATGTGCCCATCAGTTCCTTCTTCTCCCTTAACAGCTAGACAGTGTTCATATGGAACAGGATGCATTGATGGATCCTGCCCACTGTGCCATTGCTTCCCTTCTATACAAAGCAGTTTTTGTCCTGCATATTCTCTCAGGTAAGAAATGATGTTCTTGTCGTCGTCATTCGTATGTTGTATTTTCACGGTCCGGCGGGTTTGTACGGAGTTCTAAGCACTGTCCTGGAAAAAAACTCTTGTGGAATATTTTTCTGAAAGGCCATAAATGTTAAAAAAATAATCAGTAACATCCTCACCACCACCTAATCGGAGCTTTGTGTATTTGTCAGTTCGATCTCCTTTTAGGTTTAAGCCATGGTTTGGAAAAATTAGATTATATTTGTCATATATTTTCCTTTCTTTCCTAAGATTCAAAAGAACAGGTGTGAAGGAGTTCTACTTATCTAACCCAAAATGTGCTATACTTGATATTTAATATTTTACTTTATATATAATATTTAAAGTTTTTTAAAATGATTACATCACTATTCAATAAGAGAAAGTATGCAGTACAATGTAAGATCATTTTAAGCCATCAGTACTTTAATTTGACTACTAAATGAGAAACAAATACAAAAACTCTACGCAAGGCCTTGTACTTTGATATTTTTAATACAGAACAGGTTTTTAATTTTAGATGTTATACTTGTGACTTCAACATTTTGTGAAACTGTTAAAGCACTGAGAGAAATGACTGTATTCCTGCTATAAAACGTCAGAATACCTGACGTGGTCATAGAATTGTTATTAAAGAAGTCTGCAGGTCTTTTATTATATCACTTGGAATTTACGCTTTCCATAATTCCTCCAACTTTTGAACTAGCTGTCCTGGAAATAGTCACATGATGACATGCACACTGGAAAACTCTGTGAGGAAGCACATTATAAATTGTTCCTTCTACTCCTTGTACTATTTTAATATTAGCACGGCCTCACATGCAGCAGCGAAAACATTGTTTTTAGGACTAGTCTTAGAACACCTTGAGCATGGCACTGCAGGCATGGCAAAGAAAAAAATGTAAAGCTTTGCTGGACCTGTGGTAAATTCTATATGTTTGTTTTGTGGTCTAGGAGTTTAAAGTGTGTTCTGTTGTGCTAAAATAGTACAATTCATATTATCAAGAAATGGGTAGCATGCTTTTTCAATACCACAGGTAATTTAAACTGCATTCATGCTTTTTATTTGGGGTCTAAATATTCCTGTTGATATTTTACTGAAGGACTGGGGTGATTGTGTAACGTACTGTACGCTTCCCTTAAAAAGATCACTTCAACTTTACACACTGTAATATTGCACTTACTATTTGTTCCTTAAGTTAATGTATTAGAACAGTATCTGTCCAAAGTCAGGCTGCATCAAAAACAAACTAATGCACCATTGTTTTCACAGCTAGAGAAAATAAAAGGAAACACAGGGCACACACATTAAACACCCTCATTTAGGTAGGCTTTGTGATGATGGAGGCTGTATTTATTATTTATGTGATAGGAAAGCACAACAATAAGCTATTGTGAAGAATAATATTAGCAGTCAACAGCTAGTACTAAGCTGGGTGTCTCTAGGGCAGGTCTAGAGGCTGATGGGTAGGCAATGTTTACAAGGACACCAGCAGAGCTGGAGCTCCAATAACTGCTTGGCTGGGAACAGTGTGCTCTTTAAAGCAGATGATCCACCATCTTCTGCAGGAAATATGAATAAGATGCAATTGTTCATAAGACGTCATTCATAAGCTGCAACAGTTCATTCTATCAGTCAATATTTGGTATGTTTTTTTTCCAAAAGGAAGAAGTTTTCACTATATTTTTCTCGAAACTAAATTAATGTAAAATAGGTTGCATATGCTCCTCCTGAATGTGCGCACAGACAGGTATCCTTTCGTGGCACAGTAGTTCTTTTAGTAAAAAAAGAGCAAAACACCCACAGCTCATAGTGATGAAAGCTATTGTTTATTAAAACAGGCTGTTTTGTGAAGCAAGTGTTTGCTCAAAGACCAGTTCAGACTAATTATGCAGAACCTGGTGTCTAGCCAGAAGCATGAAGTGTTTGAACAAATATTAAACGTGGAGACTTATCAGTCTCTCTTTGAGTGCAGACATTTTAAGAACGGTGAAGAATGCTTCCTTTCCTGAAATGCATGTAAAGTGTCCTCGGAAAGCTTTCAAACTGTTTTCTTCTGAAACTTTTTGTCCTCCCAGGCACCGGTTCTGAGCTGGTAAAAGCTCCTTCTCATATCAATGGCACCAATGGGCAACCTCTTCGCCTGCCTGTGGAATACAACTTCAACATTCAAGAAGTGGATATCCAGGGCAGCTGGCTTGTGAGGAGGGCCATGCAAAGTGAGCCCGAGCTGCTCGTGACATTCACCAACAGAACCTCTATTTTCGATATGAAGATGGAGTACGCAAACAAGTTCTCCTTCCACCCACCCAACGCATCCTTGCAGATCAATAAACTAGACGAAATGGAAGAGGGCGAATACAAAATCATAATCAATATAAGATTTCCATATGACCCCACACCAGTGACAGAGAGCAAAACCATCAAAGTCACAGTTGATGGTAAGTATATTAAAATGCTCTGTTTGTGGAAAAACAGACGTTTGGAAAAAGTCAGTATTGGACGCAAACTTTATAAAACACAAAGGCATTTCAGTAAACACACCAGTAAATCGTTTGAAAAGAGATGCACTTTGAGCTATTATTAGGATGACTTCCTCGTCAATAGCATATTTAGAGTATATAAGGAGTCTTTGTTGAATAGACAGATCTGTAGTTTAGGGCTTTTCTCATTCTCATTCTCAATATTTGTCATTTTCATCTGCAATCTGTAAGATATTATTTCTCTTGTTGTATTATTGAAAACATAACTTTCATACTTAAGGCAAACCTATAATGACCTGTCAAGGGCATGAATATTTTGTATTTTGTATATTTTGGCATGAAAATTCGTCATCATTGCTACAGATATCTAGTTTATTGCTTGGCATTTTTTGTAATCCAGCATAACATTACATTCGTAATCATGCAACATCCAAATCTGTAAAAGTGACGTTAAATTATTTTTGCTCAAAAGAGAAGAAATGGAGAAGTTTCTTAAAGTGAATGTTTTTCACTGAAACTAAAGGATATCCTAAAATGCACTGATGTTATTGTGGATGGAGTACAGTGCAAACTGTGTGTTCCATATATCATTCATATATTGTATCTAAACAGAAATCGCTGTTTTTCTCCACAGTACCAGTGTCTACACCAGTGGTTCATATGACCCCAACCTCTGAAGCAGTTGAAGACAGAGATAATGTGACCTTGTTCTGCTCTGTGGAAAATGGAACAAGGATCCAGTACCAGTGGTTACGAGATAACTTCCCTGTTCCAGCCAGTGCTCGTCACAGATTTTCTCAAAACCACAGACGTCTCTTCATAGCTCCCGTGAGAAAAGAAGATATTGGGAACTACACTTGTGTAGTGAGGAACTTCATCAGCCAGAAAAAGAGTCAGCCTACTGTGCTGAACGTTTTTTGTGAGTATAAGGAAGTAAAACAAAGCTTGATTGTGTGTTGTGTTTTCAGAGTTTCTCTGGCAACTCAGTGAGTGAAATGTTGATGGATATCTTCTGTTTCCTCATTCTGTGCTCGTTGTTGTAGTATTTAAATAATTAGGACAAATTATCATTGTTTTCTTTCTTTGTCTTTGGCAAACATAGTAGCTTTTGCGAAGCTCCTACGTAGTGTAATTTACATTTTACCTGTGTTTAAAACAATGCTTCAAACATATCTGTTCACACTGTAATGTATCACGTGGAAAGTTTTGTCATCCTTTTTTCACAAGGCAAAGAAAACTGGTAATTTAAATATCTCAACAAGGTCTAAATTATCTGGAGAATGTGATTATCCTTTTGATTCTTACATTCATTTTTAGTTTGCTTTCAATTGATCATACAAGTGTGGGTCAGCAGGTTCATTGCATACCTAATTTGTTTTAAACGTTCCTGTACATCTTCCACACTTTTCAGTATTTGTCTCATTGGCTTCAGTGGTTTCATCCAACTTCTCTTTAAGCTGCCTATGCTAATACAGGCCCACCTGTCCTCTGTTTCATTCACTCACTCTTTCATCAGAAACATTCATGATTTCCTCTATTGCACACCTTTAAGATGTGCAAGATTATAAGATAGATCCAGGTGACCATGTCATTGGGTCATCTTCAAGGTACACATGCCAGTGCTTCAGCTCAGCTCATCATAGTTGAACATTTGGGCTTTTGGTAGATGTGCCACCTTTAACGTGAAATTGGGTGCTGGCTTGTTGTTCAATTTTTTGCACTTCTTCTTGAGCTATTTAATGTTATGGTAGAAATAAATTAGTTTTCCAATTGTTGTGATGAATTCAAATGCCTTGTACTGGACTGGAAATATTTTTGCATGCTCAATGCTTTTACTTGCATTGAAAGATTCCATAAAAGAAAGGGACATTTATGTAGCCACACAATCAGCCCACCTTTGATGAGATCTGTTCTGCAGAACTGAGGTACAGCATGATGTCACAACCAAGCTATATCAGGGAATGTGAGTGAAACAAGAAAATTCTTACCCTGATTCTTCGATAGTACGCCTCTGTCAAATACAAATGCAGGAGGGCGGGGGTGAGGTGGTGGGCAGTGGTAGGGTGTTGGAGCAAAGGTTGAACCCACCTAATGTTGGCATTCTTATAGAAGCAAATAGTCATAAAATGCAGGTCAAAGGGAAGTGATCTCACTGGACAGTTAGCTTACCACAGTATACAGGACAAGTGCCTAGATGGTCATTAGACAATTTTTTTAGATTTACCTTATTTTCCCTTTCCATCACCTCCCCTCTTGCTTTTCCCTCCCTGTGGTCTTGCTGTTTTTATTCTCTTACTGAATCTCAAAAGGGACACACTTACTGTACGTACATGTAAGCTTGGAGTTAAAAATGCATGAGTCCCTTTAACTCTTTTGTTGCAATGCGCCATATGTTGCTGCTCCAAGGCAAGAGCTTTGATAACAGGTCAGGTAGAGAAAGTAATTACCACCTGCTGCAGACTAGAACACTGTTGACAAGAGCAAATGAACACAGTAAATGTTATCGAACACAGCAACCTACTAAAATCAACAATGAGAGTGATGTCAGTAGAAACTGTTGATTAAATCACTCCTGACAGAATCTTCCAGTATTGGGGGCACAGCTTTTCTTCTTGATATACAACACTCATACTGTGACATATAGCACTCCCCTTTACTGTACATTTTGAGTTTGATAAATACCAAGTACCCCTTAGGGAAAAATTGGAAAAATATAAGAAGGATGGTAAGTAAATTCTTAGGTCATTAATAGAATTTTTTAATTTATTAAGTTTATTCTTTTACAGTTTAATTGTTTTCTCCAGTATAATGTATTCAATGATTCCGATACAGCCTTGAGGAAAAAGAAGACAAAAAGTCAGGGAGCTATACCTCAGTGGAATGAACCAAACAATTTGATTGTTTTTTATCTGCATCGTTCCAGATGGACCATACAACCTGGCTGTGAAGTCGGATCACGCGTTGCGGACTGGTGAAGTCTTCACCGTCGACCCCGAGGAGATGGTGTTCTTCCACTGCTGGGCAGATTCGAACCCGCCAAACAGTTACGTCTGGATTTCAAAGGCCGACAACGGCACAAAAGTGATCACGAAAGGCCCTCGGTTTGAGGTGGCCTCATACCAGCTGGCTCACAGAGAGGATTTCATGTGCCGCGCTTACAACAACGTCACCAAGAAACAAGATGAGACCCGGTTCACACTTGTGTTTGCCAAATTGGGTAACGGTAGGTACAATATCGTTCTGAATGTGTGGAGGTGCCAAAGCCACAACGCAGTTCACAACAGATTTGAAACAACTTTATTACGGGTGGTCTGCTGGAGTGCAAAGCAGAGATATTCACATTTCTATTATATGGGGTGGGGAAACGATAAAAAAGCAAGCAGAATGCTTGGGTACATTGCGAATACTGTAGGATTTAAATACAGGGAGGCTATGCTTAAGAAATACAATGCAATAGTAAGACCTCGTTTACAATGCTTCTATCAGGAATACGAGAGGACCTGCTACAAGCATTGAAAATCTAAACAATCTTTATTCTCAGAGTTGTGGGTACCTAGAACAGGATTCCAAACTAGGAGGTCAAAGCTCAATTTCTGAACACTTTGAAGACACATCTGGACACTAGACGTGCTGAGCTAAAAACAACCTACCCAATGAGCAAGATTAAAAGAGTAGACAAAAATGGGCACACACCTCTATCTGTATCAGGGATGTTATTACCATGGAGAGTGTACTGTAGATAGATTTGCATCATAAATATAAACGCTGTAATGCTTTAGTTTGGTGGCAGCAAATGACACTTTAGAAATGCTTAACAAATAAAGGTATTATTCCTAAGGTATAAGTAAAGAATTTATAGCTATAAGACCAATTTGACTTTTGTTAGTTGTGATGTTATTAATCTCTAGAAGGAACTGGTTCCTCCCAGGTTATTAAGAACACTTAAAGTTTTATTGAAAACCAACACAATTTAATGAAAATAGTCAGTATTTACATTCATTTCAAAATGTGAGATTTCACATTGTAATAGTTAGCATAATTGAAAAATGAAGGAGTGGACATACGGCACTAAATTATCCACTAACACATTCTCATATAAACATACAAATCTCTCAACAGTAAAAAAAAAAACGGAATTAAAATATCTATTTAAGAACATTAGTATACAAAGAATGTAGAATGCAGAATATACTCCCATTAAATTAACTTTGGAAAGTAGCTAGAATTTTTTTTACATTTTGACATTTATAAGTGAGGTTTGAGAATAGTAACTGTTTTTTCATTATTTTGGCATTTACAGTAATATGTACAGTGTTTAACCAATTCACATTTTTATATCTAATGAATAATTAATTTTAAGGTGTTGTCCAGTATCTGGACAGCAGGTAGTGTCTCTCTATTGTGTAAGAAGTGTTGCAAGGCAGTTAATAAGGATATTATTTAGTGCCACTGAGTGAAATATTTAACAAAGCATTTATTTATGTTTGAGAAATGTCAATATAATATTTTTCATCAACCAGCGAGTATACATCACACCCACTTGAAAAGAAGTCTGAGGGATCTCTAGTAAAGTAAACAGTGGTTTTGTTTACAGTGTTTAACTTGCATTGTCACATGGAAAATGTCTGTAGCTGCAGCTGGCTGGACAAATATATTTTACTTTTCAAAATGGAAAAATACACAAACATTACAGCAAAATGACAGCCTCCCAGCTGTCAGTGTTAGATTTTTATTACAAATTACTACTGCAGGCAAAGTGGACAGTTTTTCATCGTTTTTTCAATTTGTACTTTCAGATAATTCACTGCTAATATGTAAAGGTAATTTTATGCCAATATTATCCTGCATTTCCAATGTATTTAACCCAATTTGAGATTAATGATCAGCACTGAAAACCTGAAGGTCTCCCATTAAAAATAAAAGGATATATTATGGATGATTTAGCACTGTAAAATGCTTAGCCAATGTCAGAGTTCAAAATCTGTGTTAAGAAAATACTTTTGGTAGAGTTGGTATAGTGCTTCCGATTATCTTTCCTTCCTAAAACTAATTAGGGAATATTCTATCAATGGAAAAGACTCTCATGTGGAAAAGTTCTTCCACCATCTTTTTCCTTTGTATAGAAGCTTAATCTATTTTAAAGCTATTTTCTGTTCATTTTTATTTTGTGGTTTGCAAGTAATGCTTTTAAACATAAGAAAATAAAGTCACTCTGCATGTTTTCACAGAATCTTTAGTTGGCTTGATCTCACTTTGCCTTTACTTCGGGTCCTGATAATCTGATAATCTGATAATCTCATACCTGTCCTTCATTTGCATTCCACTTTTATTCCCAAGAAGATAATAAAACCAAGCATTTGCTGCACATTTAGATGATGATAGGGTATGTTTTGCAAATATTGATATGCTTCATAGTTCTAAACTGTATATGCAAAATGTCTTGTATTTATCTTTTTTTCCTTATTATACAGGTATATTTATAACAATTTCATTTTTTGGTTGCCCTATAGTCCAGAATTTCATTATTGCAATTGCCTATTACTATATTTATTATAAGATTTTTATAATATCAAATTAAAATAAATAATGGAAAACATGGAAAAAATACTTTTCATTCAGGATTTAAAGAGTATCAGTGGGTATTAATGATAGGATTCAACTGCTACGTTTTTAGGGAAAATTACTTTTAACATATAATTTATTGCAGTGACAGGTTACTTACGGTGTACAGCATGTAGGGGATTCTTTTTTTAAATGATCAGGCCTATTTTTGGAAAACAATATATTGATGCACGTGTTTAAAATGTAAGGTAATTTCAATTTCCCCATACTTCTTACTAATTGAAACACAGGTGACTTGTAACTGTAATGAATTACTTTTTAAAAGTGACTGTGCTTAATATTTAAAGGGACATCATCCTTCTGTACCTTCTGTACCTCTGCTGCTCTTTGTCTGCTCTGACCTATGTCTGAGACTGACCTGACCACCTTTTCTCAGTATCACACATTAAAAGAGTGATGATTATGCTTATTTGGCACAATTTTGTTTTGACTAGCAAGAGGTACAGGGGAACAAGTGATCCTGGATAAAATATACTCTACCATGTTAACATTTTAAAAATAGCTTGAGGCTAAAACAGTGTGAAATTGCCTTCAATGTAATCATCTTGTGTCCAAAATGTAATTCAAAGAAAAATGTATGTACACAACATTAGAATATTTGAAGCGAGTTGAGTAGTCAGGGTCAGGGTTGAGTTGGCTCTGGTCTTGAAGCCAGAGTGGCAGTGTAGTGGTCGGCATTGCATCCTTGCAGTGCTGGGACACTGGGTTCGATTACTGGGAAGCTACAGTATCTGTGTGGGGTTTCTACCGTACAGTGTGTTCTTTCTGAGTTCACACGGGTTTCCTTCAGTTGCTTCAGTTTCCTCCCACAGTACACAGACAAGCTGGTAGATTAATTGTTTTCTGGGAAAACCTGCCCTGGTGTGAGTGTGTGTGTTTGTGTCTGTGTGTGCCCTGTGATGGGATGGTGTCTCCTCTAGGGTGTGTCTCTCCTTGCGCCCTTTGCCTGCTGGGATAGGTTCTGGCTCCCCTGTGACCCTATATTGAACATAGTGGTTAAAAAATAGATGTGTAGAAAACTTCACAGGTTTTTTTTTGTTTTTTTTTGCTGAAATATGGCGCTATCCTCTTAATCTGTCCATTTAATCCTCAATGATCCGTCGAGTGGTGCTACACAAAGGTGATCTCACCTCTATAATTGTTCTTTCAGGAACTTCTTTGTTTGTTCTCAAAACAGTGTTCTTTTTCCTGCCTCAGCTCTGTCCTGTAAGAAGGAGTGGAGAATTGATGAGCTCCGGCCTTCACACTCTGTTATAGCTCAGTTCAGTGCAAGCTGAACACTCTTCTCCACGTTACACTTCTCAGTCTCCTGCATTCATCTGATGAGAGGATGAAAACAAGAGCACGATTGACAACATAGTTTAAAATGACTGTAGAGGTCTCATTAACATCTTCCACTTCCAATGAAAAACATTTTCAATACAATAAAGCCTGAAATACTAGCGCATGCTTTGCATGATTCTAATTAAGAACAATTCAATTAGTTAATGAATTAAAATACTTCCCCATTTGTTTTCACATCTTTTCACGTGAGACCTGTAAATCCCATGGAATTCTTTTATTACAATTGTGATTGTAATAAAAACATTTCTTTACTTTCATTTGCAGATGTTATTTCACTTCTGCGTTAACCCTTTGCTTTGCCCTGGTCTTATCCTCTCGGGATCATTGTTACTTCTCACAAAGTCAACATAGCAGACTGCTTTAGAACCATCAGTGAAACACAAACCAGAAACTACATGGCAGTGCATTTAAATCCGGGAACAGGAGGCACTTCTTTACACAAAGAGATATGGCGTACCAGAACAATCTCATGTTGCTGAAGTCCATGCCCCAGGCCATTTGAGGAAAGAGCTGGTTGAGATCAGGAAAACAAGCTTGATGGGCCAATGGCTTCCATTCGCTTGTAGTCCCTTATTATGCTTCTTTCATTTCTTTGAAGGAAAGGGGTGGACGACTCTTTTGGAGAATTAACTTAATTTAGAGTTCACTTCATTTGATTGTTTATTTTTGCAGAAAATGCCACAACTTCCAAGTGTCCCAGTGTTCATCTTTCTTTTTTTTTTTCTCAAGGCAAAGAAAAACATGTGCACGAGGGAACCCCTCTGTCACCTCTGGCAGCGATTACAGTGGCCTCACTCCTCATAATCATGTGCATGTTGTTTGTCCTTTTCCGAAAGACATGTCACCCACAAAGAGGTAGGTGTGAGTGGACACAACTCTCACAAAAGCTAGGAAATATCAAGTAGCAGTAATGAGACAGCAAGCCTGGAATATCTGTTAAATTGTCATTACCTTGTATTAATGATTAATGATGTAAAAAAGCACAGCAAAAGATAATTAAATCCTTACAAATTCAAACTTTAGTAAAGCCACTGAGTATTACAATGTATAATTTAATAAAACTGAATCTATGACCAGAGGACTTTAGCACACATCAAGCTTGAATTATAAATACTAGCTACTGTATGAGATTATTATGCTCAGTGTATTAATAAAATGAAATATGTATCTTGATGTTTTTCTGTGGCTCTGCAGTTGTGCAGCATATTTCTGACACTGATTCCTCAGGATTCTGCTTAATAGTTCAATCTTTATTTTTAATGCCATTTTCTTCATAAAGTTAATTATAAATTGCTCAAAGAAACTGAATAATGCAAACAAATATCAGCAGGGATTTTTTATATTATCATTTATATTTAATATTCTTAAATCCAGAATTACAAGATGAGTTGTTTTAGAGCAAATTTGGAAAATAATCTTTGGTTTGTAATATATGCCTCATTATGAAGTGAATTATTTGTTCTCTGTGTGTGAAGTGAAAGACAGTCCTTAATTTAGGGCAAAATCTGATGTTTAACTTTCTTCTGACAGAATAAAAATACAGTAGTGAGATGTATTTCAACTTTTATGATTGTTGAAAATATTTTTCCTTTAGCGAATATTATGAGATGTGAGTTTTCATCATAGTTCTGCAGTGGTCTTGAGAAGCACAGGTTCAAAGCCAACAGAAACTGCATGTGCTCAGAATTCATTCTCATATCTTATATATTAAGCTGAGTAAGAGATTATCTTTGTGTGAAACAAATTGGAGCTCTGTAAACTGATTTAAACCTTTCTTTTACAGTGATAAAGAACATTTACAACAGGTGAGTAGATATTTAGCTTTGTAAAAATAAAAACAACATTTATGCATTTCCATTTTAATCAAAGAAAATTAATTCACTTTTTTTTTCTCTTCATAGGCCTCTCACAGAACAAAAAAAACCTCACCTCTCAGGTACTTTTTTCTTTCTGCACCAACGCCATTTATCTGTTATCACCTTGACCGGTCATTTAGCATCTTTGTGTACATACCTAACAGCCTGTTAATGACCGGGTTGTTGCCTTTCAACCCACGCAGAATATTATACCATCCACATGCTCAGCAATTACATTTGTTTAACCGATACTAGTTTACAGTGACGTGTTCTGCCTCTGCTTCTGGGCATTTATGGATATTATTTCAAGCTGTTGTTTTAACTTTGCAGTTTCCTAGCTCTCTAAAAAGTAAAATTGTACTTGTATTCCATTCTTAGTAACATTATGCTTTACTATAAAAACTATGAGTCTATTGCATTGTTAATGGAAATGCTGTCAGGTGAAATCCTGTCTGCAGTCTGCAGTGAGAGTAAAAAGACCATCTGTGCTTCTCCTTAAAAGGAAACTGATATTCCCGAAATAAACAGCCTTTTATTTTTTTACATCTACGTTGTTTGACCTTTAAGTGAGTTTCTGTTTCTGTCTGAAAAACTATTTGCATAGTCCTGGAAAATGGCAGGAAAGCAAGTCTCTTTTTAGAATGGCTTTCAGTATTCAACAGTGAGTTATAGGACAGGTTTAATCAATTTATTTCATGCTGTGATGTGACCTCCTCAAATTCTTGAGCAGAAAAGGTTCCAAGGATTGTATTCCAAGCTAATTTATTAAGTAGATCATATAAGGTCTGGAGAAAAGAATCCTTTGCTTTTAACTTTCTGACAGTTTGTTCTCAATATCCTTGTTCATCTGTATTTAAAGGGGATTTAAAATAAATTGCTCGAAAATGATTTTGTTAGGGCTTACATTTCACTAAAAGCCACAAATACTAAAAACATAGGAAACAAAAGGAAACTATAAATTCAAAACTGTGTTTTGTATCAAAAGCCCTTTCTTCTAATGACCTGCTATGTGCTTAACGAGTAAAACACCACTACTTAAGCAATGAACATGTTTTTAACATTTTTCTCTCTAAGGTCATGAAGATGCCACAGAAGATTTTGGTATCTATGAGTTTATTGCCATACCAGGGAAGTCAGAACCTACCCAGGTAAGGGAATTTCTTAAATTCTACAACTAAATCAAGGAAAATGGACTTCTTTTAATGAAAAATGTGATTTGAAATGCACTGAAACTTGAAAAGAAAAAAATTAAATGTTCTTTTCTTTTTTTGTTTTTAAGGCATCAAGCAGATCGCTTTCACAACTGGATTCAGTCCAGGATTTACATACTACAATTTACGATGTCATCAGACACATTCCAGAAACACCTTCACAGGGACTTTTGAAGTGACTCTTGGAGATATTGTCAGAGAAATGTTTTTGTAATATACTGTAGCAGATCTGTCTTGAAGAAGAAAGCTATTTAAGGTAATTTATGAAGAACTCTCCACTGCTCCTGTGAAACACGTTGCATGTCACAGGCGTTACTTGCATTTAAGGAGAAAAAATGGAGGTTTAAAAACCCCTCTCTACCTTGACTTCATTCCAGGATTTTCGGTTTTACGGTATTTTTGTTTCTGGTTTTATACTGTAAGAAAGACTAATACCCAAAGTCTATATTTTTAATTTCCAGCCATATTTGGCATGAATTTAAAATTGAAGTAAAAGTCATTTGCATATTTATTTTGCTTTTGTGTTATTTTCTTTGATACTACTTTTATACTAGAGGTCTTCTGGGAATGACAGCTTCTGAAGCTCACTGTATTTATAAATATTTATGTCATGTATTACACTTAATGAATTCTTCCTTCCACGCTTGAATATTTTGTTTTGCACACTGCAAAATGCATGAGAGTTGTCTTGATGGTACATGGGGGTGCATGGCTGCAGATGCATTTTTTTTTACTCTTAATAACCTTACGTCTTCTACCTCTTCAACCTTCTCCCCACAAAAAAACGCAACAATTTATATCAATTTTACACAAAGCATGTCAGCAAATCTCAATATTGTTCCAGTTTGACATCGCAATTTTCAATTTTGTGGACTCCCCCAACTTGGTGGAGCATGGAGGAAGAGGATTTGGACTCTTGACTGGCATGATTGTGGTTTCGTATCCCTGCTACAGACACTGTGTCCTCGAACAAGGTCCTTTACCACAGGTGTTCCAGTCCACCGAGCTGTATAAGTGGGTACCAGCATCGCTGGGCGTAATCCCTGTGATCGAACATCATCCTGTCCACAATGGGAACAAGCTCTAGTTTACTCAGAAACCAGGATGAGCTCTGACCTGCTGAACTGCTGTGGCTGCAGTGGTGCCAACTTCAGCTTTATCTGGGCTCTGCCAGTTCGCACCCGCTGAAAGTGAATCGACCTGCCTCGCTGCATGATTGTATGTTTCTTGTACCAGCGCACAGAGAACACAGAGGACAATGTCCAAAACGGCACGTACTGTAGCACCTGTTAGGGCTATTTTCCATTTTACACATCGAGAGAGGAGGCACTGATAGTCGAGAGATTCAGCTTACACTGACAGTGCTGCAGGCTCATGGGAGCCAGGCCAGACGCCAGGGTCGCTGCTGTGTGTGACAAGGCTGCGGATACCCTCGTAGATCCTGCTGGTGCTTGGGCTTTTGACACATCCAGGCTACAGGGAGCACTGACTGAGCCCTAGCTTGTGCCATCACTGTGTGAAGGGAACCCCTCGTGCTGGTTGACGAACTTTAGAACCTGGATTCTGTTTTGCATGAGCCAAAATACGTTTTTGGTTTTAGTGCGACATTTGTGGACTCCCAGCCATGGGAGGACGTATGGATTTAGTATTTCATTTTCTCTTCCCTCATACCTTTCTCCCTTACCTTCCTGAACTGGATTTTTTTTTCCTTCACCTAAGCTGTATTCATCAGCAAAGGCTGCAAACCTGGACTCCTCCAATGACACATCCATCCTTCCATCCACAGTTTCCTTCTGGGGAAGCTATAGCCTATCCCAGCAAGCTCCAATGATACAAGTTTACCAAAAACAAAAGCAAGCACTGAATGAGAACTGTTAAGATTACGTTAGTATCTGAAAAGAAGATTTGGTATCATTTAGTGACACTGAGTATGGGCCTCAAATGAATTTCAGTTATGTAACATGCAAAATCAAGCCAAAGGAATATGATAAGAGCCACCTGCAGATTTAGCAGATGGGTATTGAGAAGTGATGCAGAAGTCAGTTTGCATGTATTTTTTTTACTGAACCATAATATTGGATCAGAACCAGTGCCATTTCACTAATACACTGGGACCATTTCTTTGTCTAGACATCAAATGAGACACTATTTTACACATTTAGTTTGATTCTTTCTGGGTTTTTTTTTGTAAAAAGTCTTTCACAAGTTTACCTCATTTGATGAGAAAACAGAATTATTTTTGGCAAGATGAAATGTTTTTTTTCTACTTCTGCAGTAAATGGAAGATGTACAGTATCAAATTTCTATTTGAATAAAGATTTGTATCATTTTAATAATTTCATATGCACATGTAGAAAATGTACATTCTACTAAAAAGCAGTGATTGGATAAAAATTGCATAAAATTGGTAAAATATTACTTGTAAGCATTATGTTTGTTTGACTTTATTGTAAGTTATATATTTTATACAGTAATTAAAAACCCAGACGAAGCCGTGACTATTGGTTACAAATCATTCTTTCCATTATAATATGCAGTACACCTCCTAATGTTTCTTTCTAATTGGGTTTTGTTGTCTCTGACCTCCATTAAAGCACATTTCAGTTTTTGTGTTACTTGAATACACATCCTTGGTTGTCAGATAACTAAAGTCACAAGACTAAAACCAGGCTCTGCTTAGTCAAAGTCTGAGACAAACTGGGGAAACAATATGTGCTTCTCCGGTCTTGGAGTCCTTGCACTGGCTTCCTCTCAGGTTTGGAGCTGATTTTAAAATCCAACTGCTTACTACGCGTCTTGGCTCCTCCGGTTTGAGCTGATGTGCTCTCTGTTTATTTCCCACCATGTGACCTTTGCTCATGTCATTCTAGATTACTACGTTCACATACTGTTCTTTCACATTCTGGGGGTGACAGGGCCTTTTGTTACATCACCCCCAAATAAATCAGGGACTCAGCCACACTGAGAGCTTTTAAATAGACTTTTTCAGAAAAGGCTTTTTTGTGGTTTATCTTCTCCATGCTGCTGCT